ACATTGAGAAAAATGAGTAAGTGCTGCCAAAACACTAATGAAATGAAAGTATACAAGAGAACACGTAAATACATATACAAGTCACATTTACATACCTAACCCATCCACACTGCACAGATCCAATAAATATTAAATATAATACCGCCATCACATATGCGTAAGAAAAGGTTATTCAAACCAAACAAGATGGTCTCATATCCGCCAACCATCCCGTGCGCATATGTGACAAGTAAATAAAGAGATTGTATATAGTATTTATTAGACGAGAAATTATACGATAAGAAAATATGTGTGTGTGCAGTTTTTATGTAATTAACAACATAATAGTTACGCATATAGAAAGAATTTATAATGACTACACATGATCATGAACGATTTTCTTCTAACCCTCACCCTCACCCTCACCCTTACCCTCACCGTAACCCGTACTATAACCTTAACCCTCACCTAACCCTAACCCTCACCCTCCCCATAACAGTCCCTTGCCCTCGCCCATGCCCTCACCCTAACCCTCGCCCTCACCATAACCCCCGCTCTCGCCCTCTCCCTCGCCCTAACCCTAACCTAACCTTAACCCTAACATTCACTGTCACCTTATCCCTGAACCTAAGCCTAACCCTCACCTAACCCTATCCCTAATCCTATCCCCAACCCTAACCCTAACTAAATTTTAATTTTTTTATGTTATAATATTCTTAAGATGGAATTTTTTTTATTTTGCAATATCTTACTAAGGTTTGCATTTCTTCATAATTTTTTTGTTTTGCAAAAATTAAACTCTACTTATAATTAAAAAATTAAATTAATCAATTAAAAAATTAAAAAAAACTCTATTTCTTTCTCCCCCTACATCTCTCTTTCTCTCTACCTTTCTCTCGGTCGGCCGACACTGGCCCTCGTTGGTCGTCTGGCCGCCGAAGTTGGCTGGACGATAGAGAAGAAGAGAGAAAGAGAGATGGATTGGGAGAGAGAAAGAGAGATGGAGGGGGAGTGAGGGACTGACCTTGAAGAGAGAGGGAGGTTGAGAGAGCGGTCTTGAGAGAGCGGTCGCTGGTAGGTCAGGCATCGCCGCACGTTAATCGGTGGTGGGGGTGGGGGCAGCGGGCCAGGCATAGGAGAGACAGATAGAGGGAGGGAGAGAGGGGAAGGAGAGATCGAGAGTGAGAGGAAGGGGGTGTCGGTATAGGACGATGGGTCAGGCTCCT